GTGGTCCAAAGAACCACTCTCCCATCACTCAAATCTTTGTGTGATGTCTTCCTCTTTTGTCAGGGCTTCACCTTTATCTTGCTTTAACCAACAGACTATGGAGGAAGCAACTCCATGCTAGTTCTGAGCCTAAACCTTTAAAAGACCTGACAGCTCCCACTTTGGCAGCTAAGAGATCACTGAGCTGCCATGAAAAGAGTCAAGACTCTGCTAGAGAGACCTCCTGGAAAGCCCACATGGAGAGGCCACATAGAAAGGGAGAGGTCCTAGTACTACATGGAGAGAAAGGGGAGCCCAGTTCCTTCTTTCCAGCTCATCCCAACCTTCTAGCCATCCTATAAAGGCACAGGCATATGAATGAAGCCATCTTGGAAGATCCAGCACTAAATACCATCTGACCGTAGCCACTGTGCCCTCAAGCAAAACCAGCAGGAAAACAACATCCAGCTGAACCCCAGTCAACCCATGGAATCATAAAAAATAATAAAGTTATTATTTTAAGCCATTATATTTTGTGGCAGTTTATTATATAGCAATAGATAACTGAAAATGCATCAAGAGAATCAGAAAGACATATAAAATTATTATTTTCCATCTTATGCATAGCAAACAATACCATCAGTCCTCTTCCTAACTTGGAACCATTACTATATAATATGACATGGCTAACCAAGTTTTCATCTTTCTACAGAAATTATTTAAATTAGACTAGAGTTGGAATCAAGTGCATAAATGGAACAGAGGATCCTCATAGAAACTGATGTCTAAAAGAGTTAGGCATCCAAATGCATTACTGTTGCTGCTGCTGCTACACTGACTTCTCCCACTGGTGAACATACAGCAATGTTTTTTCAGAGCTAACTTGCCAACAGAAGGTCAAAACACCTTGCCTGAACACAAGACTTACAAATTTTGGATCTTAAATATGATGTCATGTCTTAAAATGATAAGCTGCCAAAAAAATAAATGGTATTTTGTAAAGATGTGCACCGTTTTCATGTTTATGCTACTTAAGATGAGGGTTCTAATAAGTCATCGGCTATGTTCCTTTAAAGGGAAGTTTTATAACTGAGATGAATCACAACTGCAAAAGATCAAAGTTAAAAAACATCAATGATGCCATGGGGTACTTTTTAATCTTGTAATGAGTGATGATCATGTGCTCTTATGAAGTTAGTCCAAGTGCCAACGCCAGATGTGTATATTAAGAAAAGAAGTTGTTTGTGATGTGACAGCACTGGTTCAGCTGCCAGAGACAGAAAACATAGAAGGATGAAACCTTTTGGATTTTTGAGTGAAAAGCAAGTCTTGGCAGATGTGTTGATAAGCAAGGCCTCAGAAAGGGTACCAATGTCCTATCACCCTGCCTTGGACTTTGCTATAAATAGGAATTTATCACCAGTTCTGCACAGCTATCCCTGTACATCATGAATATCTGCACCAAGGAAGATTTATAACACTTTTAGTATCATTTACTATTGAGTAAAAATTAGTAAATCCATCTGTAGGAGAAGAAATAAGACTAAATATCAGAATCTAGATGGTATCCGTTTCCTGCCGTGTACTGTAAGCAAAGTTCTATAGCAAACTTCTGACACTCAAGAAAAGTAATGTAATGACAGTAAACATTTAATGACCATTTACTACATAACACCATACTAACAATTTCACATGCATTACATCATATACTAATGAGGAAGATACTATTTTTATTATTCTCACTTTTTCGTCTTGGTGCTGGGAATCCAATCCAGAGCATCAAACATGCTAGGCAAATGTTCTACCACTAAGCTACTTCCTCAGTTCTTTTTATTTTATTTTGAGACACTGCCTTACTAAGTTTTTTTAAATTTTTTAGTTATACATGGACACAATAATCTTTATTTTGTTTATTTATTTTTATGTGGTGCTAAGGATAGAACCCAGGTCTTACACATGAGAGGCGAGCACTCTACCGCTGAGCCACAACCCCAGCCCATGCCTTACTAAGTTATCTCAAACTTGCAATCCTCCTACCTCAGCCTTAATTATTCTCACTTTCAAGGCAGATTTTTGCCTGGAGAAATCCAAGGCAAAGAGAATCTAGGGAACTTGGCTGCTTTCAGGCAGCTAAAAAAAAAAAAAAATGGTGAAATTAAGATTGCAACCCAAGTAGTCTGAACCAAAGACTCAGTTAATCCATGTCTTGTCCTTGTTCAAACAACTTAGCTACCCAAAGCAGCCTTTTCAATATATACTCACATAGTGAGAAAATCTAGAAAAATTCCATCTTTAAACAGTAACCAATAGTACAAAACCCTCAACTCCTTCAAACTACTACAGTAATGAACAGAAATATACTACCTTCTGTGACAATAACCACTACTTAACAAATTATAATTTGGGAAGAGAAAATGAAACAATTGCATTAATATCTCTTTTTCCCCCTCTAGGAAAGTCTTTTACTAAAATGTTTCTCTATTAAAGGTTGATAAAATAAACCACCTTGAAATCTGAAGTAAGGGTTGGTAAATGACAATTTCTGGGCCACATCTGGCCTTCCACCAGTTTTTGTAAATAAAATTTTATTGGAATACAGCCATACTCATGTGTTTATACACTGGCTTTGGGTCCTTCAGCACTAAAATGGCAGGGTTGAGTGCTTGTGACAGATAACCAAAAACAAGATGGAAGGAAAGATTCCAGTACAGATTCCAGGCTATAGGATTAAGCTGTTACTGATGCCAGTCCTATCCTTATATCCAGGCAAGTCACCACAAGACGTCAAGGAAATGACATCACATTTTCACAGATATTTTCGGTTTACAAGAAACGTTACTCAGGCTGAACTGAGACAGGTGGTCTGCTACTTGTAGATCTGTATCTCCTTTCCCACCTACCCTCAGCACTACCCAAAGTCTGAACTCAGGTCATACATATAGCATCTGGCCCCTGCATCCCAAAACCTCATCACTTTAGAAGATGTCTCTGCCTTTATAGAGCAGTGGTTCTATCAACTAATTCTGCCATAAACCTCTCTGAAATTAAGTAATGTTACCCACACTTGAATCAGAAGTAGCTTTCCCAAAACTACCCTGCCTCCTCACCTTTTGTCATATCTTTTAGAATGAGGAAGCATCAATTCTTCCATGTTTCCTTTCCAACCATCAACTTTTGAGCACCAACTCCTAAGTGTACACACACACACACACACACACACACACACACACACACACACAATAATGACTTCTCTAAGTACTGAAGAAAACAGCTGATATAAACAGGAAACATTTTTAAAAGACAAATATTAGCCAGGTACAATGGCACATGCCTGTAATCCCAGCGGCTTGGGAGCCTGAGGCAGGAGGATCACAAGTTCAAAGCCAGCCTCAGTGACAGCAAGACACTTAGCAACTCAGTGAGAACCTGTCTCTAAATAAAATACAAAATAGGGCTGGGGAGTGGCTCAGGGGTGGAATGTCCCTGAGTTCAATCCCTGGTACCAAAAAACCCACAAATATTAACGGTGCTAAATGTTAGTGTTAATATTATCCTGCTTTGTGCATTACTAGAATTGTGACTGTTCCCTTTTCAGGAACTGGAGGAACTACTTAGGTAGAAGGTTAGAAGATGTCTTCCCTCATAAGGCATCATTCATGATTTATGGCAAAAAAAAAAAAAAAAAGTCAAGTGAAGCCCCAAACCAGGCATAGCCCCTGCCCTCTTCTGATCACCTGCACTACATAACCAATGATATGTAGAACTGGAGACTTGGAGCTCACATGTACTGTGCACCAAACCACCTAATAGGATATTCCCAAACTGAATAGACAGAATAGCCCTGACCCAATACAAATTTAGAAGAAGACCATACACATGAAAGAAGGAGAAAACAAAACCTCACAGTTTTTTGAGGCAGGAACCCTCCCCTAGTTCAGACAAGCAGTCGGCCTTTAAGAGAGCACAAAAGGGACAGAATCTACTGTATATTTCCATTGCTAAAAAATATGCTATATGGGGAGAGGCAAAACCTTACCACCTCTTTTCTACCTAGAAGAAAAGATATGCTACCCTCACAGTATAGGCAGCTTTACTATCATAGAACAAATAATCTTCCAGTTATACCTCCACCACAAACCAAATGAATGCAATGGCTAGGACCTCAGTGAAGTCCCTCAATAAAGGTAGTTTTGTATGATACTTTCATTGGCACATAGTGTTAATGTTTTTTAATGTCAAATAACCTTTAATTTCTAAATATACTTAAATACTACCATGATGGGTTTGTTCAAATCAATTTGGGTATTGGGATGGGGGGAAGTAAACCCATTTCCATTTAGATTTAGGAGGAAAGTACATATTGACCCAAATAGGTTATGTGCATTACCTTAAACCTTCTGGATGCCCAGACAGAATTAAATAAACCAAGGTAGATTTAAACCTGGTTTGACTCTGTTAAAGAAACTATCTTAACAATTATTGGAACAGGACCAAACAACAGTGTTGTAACAATCAAGCAAGTTATCATTTGCAAATAAATTCTTTGTAATTAAGCAGTGTGCTCTTTACAAAGGGAATTGAGTGGGCGAGTTAAAAAGCTAAAACACATTCTTAGGCCATGGGAAACATACCCAAATGCTTTTTGACTAAGCTTAAGAATTTTTAATTTATTCTTTGCTTCTTTAGCTCTTCTGGTTCTGTTCTGCCCTGTCCATTGTGTAGAGCAGATGAGCACAATTTCTTAGCAAATAATTGTGATGACAATAATTATTTACTCATTTACCAAAGTTATAGAGGCCTTTGTAATTTTGTGGCTAAGGTTAAAACTATAATTTTATTTTCTATTAACTGGTAAGGTCTACTAATTGTCCCTCACTAAAAATATATGCAGATAACTAACTTTGCAAAGACAGTACTTACAGATAGTATGTACATTACAGTAACATTAACTCATTTAGAACAAATTCCTCATAGGCTCTCTAAAAACTATCACTATTTTCAATAGAAAGGCAAGTACTTACTTCTGGGTTCCCGGGGTCCATCCACTGTAACTTTAATAGCTCTGTGATAGGTAGCTACTTGGGGAGGATTTGTGAAGACTGTTATGGTCAAGGTGAAACTCTTGCCTGCAGATTAAGGGGGGGAAATACAGAGTAAATATAAAAGGCAGTATTGATGATTATACAGCAACTGTCTAAATTTCATTCAAATCTCTTTTACAATGAAACAGAGAGTCAAAAGTCCTTACTCTAAACTGGAAACCCCCTGACAGCCACTTTTAGGATGATTCTAAATTCATTCAGTATTAAGATCATCTTTTTCACTACAGGACTATGTAAGAAGGTTCTGATTCCTCCTCAATAGCTCCTCAGTAGCAATATTTGTAAATGAAAACAAAAACCCTAGTCCACTTGGGAAGAGTTCTCTTCCTTTTAATTTTTCTCCAACATCAGGAACACATCCAAACACAATTTTAGAAGCCCTTATTTAGGATTAGGTCGTGACCCCATGAGAGAACAATAGTAAATCATTGTTGATTATGTTATTTACTTCACATGGCTTTAGCATTTCATTTGCTTAAATGAACTACAATAAGAAGATGAAAGAGGGAAGTTCTTATGGGAATCATTTTAACAGGAGCCAGTGTCTCCTATCCTGGCCTTAATGTGCCTGTGGTATGATGATTTCATCATTACTGGAACAAAGTTTTTCTCCTCCCTGCCCAACCTTCCCCTAACATACATCCCTGCTGTTAAATCTTGAAATAACGCCTTGATGGTGACTTATTTTCTGCTAAATGTATAGGACATCTCTCAACATAAACATGAATTTTTCACTTTTAGCAGAGGCTGTGCTTCATTGAAATACTATATCTGATGCTTCAAATTAATGAGCTAAAAGCAATGAACCAGGGTTGGGGGTGGGTTGGCAGCAGATTTGGATGTCTGCTTTCTCCAGAAGACACCAGACTCTGTTACACAGACTCACTGACAGTTGTAATCAGTTAGATTTGCAACGGTTAGTCATGTCAGATAGTCAAAACTGCAAACTGTTACAAGACAGGAAAAGGTGGGCGTGAAACAGTGACTCAATAAAACATTCAGCAATCTGGGGCCAGAGTACTCATCTAGTCTGCTCCTGTAACAGATAAAAAGCTCATTTTGTTTTGCTTTGTTTTTTGGTCAGACTTTCCTTTCTTTTACTGAAAGCTGAGGGTATTAAATCAAAACACAAATCTTAAACAATATGTAGTAATGCAAAATTTAATGCAGTCTTTTCAAAGCTTAATATGGAACAGGTTATATACGAGTCTTAATGTAGAACAGGTCTTTGGCTGTCAAGTCTAGTGAATGGGTTTTCTTTTCAACCCAGACCATGTAAGTTCCTAAAATCTGTTTAAGACACACATCATTTGTTACTGAGTATACACAGCCTTACGCCAAGGTTCAAGGGGAGGGGGCAGGAGAAAGGAAAGGAAAGAGAAAGGGGAGAAGGGGAGAATTAGATGAATATTGATTAGAAACCCATTAATCTCCCTCTAGTCCATATACATTCTCTCATTTAACCCTGCACAGTTAGATTTATCACCCTCATTTACAAACAAAGCCAAGAGGGGCTTAGTAATTTACCCAAATTCACACCATCAATAAGTGGAAAAAGTGAGGATCTAAACCCAAGCCATTCTGACCTTAAAATTAATGCTCTTTTTAAAAATTTTATTCTGCCACTCTGCCAGAGAACATGAAAAAGAAATTATTGGTAATTTACTTCTAAATGTGTCTCAAATAGCTCTCTGTGCTCAAGAAATAGTAAGTATATAGAAAGTAATGTAATATTTTAGGCAAGGATGATGAAAATACTTTTAAAGTGTCAGAGATATATCATATTTCATCCACTACATAGTAGATATTACATGGATTTAAGTAATTTAATTCATTAGGAAACAGAGGATTTATTATCAATATTATGATTAATCAGAAGAAAAACAACACAGCCAGGAGTTTAACTTAGTCACAGAAAACTGAAAATCTATAGAAATGGACATTAGAAACTTAAATAGGAACCACTAGGTTCAGATTAAGGCCTCAAAATAGTGGAAATATTTGGAGGACTGAAATAGTTGATTCTCTAGACTGCAAGTTAATTTCCATTAAAACATTTTAAAATGTGCTTTTAGATGAAATTAGTGGTCCATGGATCCAGAACAGCAACTCTAATACTGGTTCCAATGACTTTGGTCTTTGAAAGACCGTTACCATCCATGACACTAATCTTAATAAATCAAAGATGTACGTTTCTCAGTTATCCTTAATGTCTCTAAATAACAACATTCTATGCATGAATTTACCTAAACAGGGTTTGAGAATATTTCTATTTTGGATCTTTACAACCTTGAGACATTAAAAGTCATCCATGCTTCAAATTCAGGGAAACACTCATGTAAAGACAAAAGTCAAATAGAAAATTCACCCTTCAAATATAAAGCACCTAAATTCTCAGAGCAGAACCACTTTTCCCTTAAAAAGAGGTGGGTTGGGGTTGGGGTTGTGGCTCCGTGATAGACTGTTTACCTCACATGTATGAAGCACTGGGTTCGATCCTCAGCACCACATTAAAAAAATAAATAAAAGGTATTATGTCCATCTACAACTAAAAAGTAAAATATTTTTTTAAAAAGAGGTGAGTTTGCAGGCATTGTGAGGCAAGTCTATAATACCAGCAACTTAGGAGGCTAAGGCAGGAGAATTGCAAGTTCGAGACTAGCCTCAGCAAATTAGTGAGGTTTTAAGCAACTTAGTGAGACACTGTCTCAAAATAGTAGGGGAAAAAAGAGAGAGTTCAGGGAGGAAACAAGTATTTACGTAACAAATTTCCCAAAATCAAATCCTATGGATCACAACTAAAACAAAAATTGAAAAGGTTCCATCTACTTCTGATAGGCCTGTTCAGTAGGAACAAGCATGTTAAGTTGAAGAAACTCTGACCCAACTTGTCATTTAGTTTTTGTTTTCCTGGGTCAAATGTTCATGTAGGCATGATGATTTTCTTAAATTAAGAAAAGTTTTTCCAAATTTCATTTTTTAGCTCTATGGTAAAATTAAATTGACTTTTGTCCTTACATGAGTGTTTCCCTGAATTTGAAGCATGGATGACTTTTAATATCTTAAGGTTGTAAAGATCCAAAATAAAATTGATTAAAAATACAGTTCTTACTTAGGGATAACAAATTGTATCCTCCATAGTTTCATTTAGGAACTAGTTCTGCAGTATGTCCTCAAATCATATAGTTTTCAAGATAAATATAATGAACTGTCATTGATTGTCAGTTCCAATCTGAGGGGCTGCTTGGAATAGACAGGAGAGGTAAGACTATAAGCCAGAATGTATCCTAAAATGACAAAATACTGTAGATGCTTTAAAAATGCTAGTAAACTATAGGGAAGAGGGGAGGAAGGGAAAGGGAGGAGGCAGGGGATTAGCAAAAATGATGGAATGTGATGGCCATCATTATCCAAAGTACATTTGTGAAGACACAAACTGGGTGTCAACCTACTTTATATACAAACAGAGATATGAAAAATTGTGGTATATATGTGTAATAAGAATTGTAATGCAAAAAAACAAAGTACATGTATAAAGACATAAATTGGTGTGAACATACTTTATATACAAAGATATGAAAAACTGTACTCTATAGATGTAATAAGAATTGTAATGCATTCCGCTGTCGTGTATTTAAAAACATAAAATCAATTTTAAAAAAAGCTAGTAAACTAAATTTACAATTAAAAATCATAAGTTATTTCTAATTCAATGCAAGTTTCATTGATAATCTACTCCTATTTCAAGCATTTTTAAAAGTTGTAATAAGACAACCCATAAAGTCTAGTGACATAACTCATTAATAAATCCAAGACCATTTGTCAGTTTCTGAGAGTTTACATTTCTATGAGTGAAAAGGGGAAATAAGTGTAATATCTGGGGAATTTGGTGGGTTTTTTATTTTTTTAACACTATTGAAAACAGAAAACTTGTAAAGCCGGGAAAGAAAATACAATAGTAGCAACATGTTGATAAGACACAATAACTTAAGAGAAATGGAGAAGTGTGAAAAATCAAAGAGGAAGCTGGAGTCTGTTATAAAAGCAGGTCAGGTACAAAGGGTACAAAGGCAAGTTAAAGGGTTTCCTGACACTGAAAAACTGACCCACTTTTTTTTAGAGTGTTACATCTTATCAGTGTCTCTCTGTTTTTTTCTCTCTCCATTCCAACTTGATATTACTGTCTCCTTGCATACAGTGTTGATAAAGTGATATAAAAATCTATTATTAGTGATAAATCAATTTTTCTGTCTCTCTCCACTGCTCCCCCCAACCCCCATCTAAATCTTGAAGACAAGTCTGGACCAATTTCTCCATCCTGCCTCTGGCAGCAGACTGTAGCATTTCAGATCCTCCACCAAGTCCCGGCTGCTTCAAAGGAAAAATCCTACTTTCTTCAGTTAAGATCATAAGAAATATAGGGGGAGGGGGTCAGCTCTGTTTGGACATAATTACACTTCATCAAAAGAAGCTTTCTTCATCTTCCATGCGTGAAAAGTCTGCAAGCAGTTAAGTCTGTCTTTTTTTTTTAAATATAAAAATTGCTATTTGGGAAACCAGCCAAAACTCAGAAAGCCAATATAGTAAAACAGTGCACACCCTTTGTTTCTCTTTGAAGTTTCTTAAATAAATACGTTGAGGGTTTACAAAGTACACTATCACTTTGCCATAGTTTCTACTCAAATTGATCAGAAAAGAGTTATGTAGCATCTATATACAAAAAGACAATAAAAACACTAGATTGAATCTGTAAAATTAAATATTACACCCAATCCTTCAAATACTAAAATTCATTACTCTAGTTAAAATTAAGGTAATTTTACATAAGAAGAAAGATTCAATCTAGAACATACAGGTATATCATCATGTTCATATTTTTCTTAATTTTTACTAGGATAAAAGAGAAACTTTAATTGTACTATAGTCCTGCATGATAAACTGAAATAAAAGCATTATTACATACACACACACACACACACACACACACAAACACACACACACACACACACACACACGCCCCATCAGTCCATAATGATAGAGCATATGTCTTCTTTTCTTTTAATCAAAGTAAACTAAACATAATGCAGTGATAAACCCTCTAGTTTGGGTTCTAACAGAGGCTCTGAGCCTCACTGTATTTCAAATAACCTTTCAGTGACAGATTCTCATTAGCATGCATCATTTTTTCTTTCTTAAGTTAAAAAGTACAACTTCTTGGCCCTGTTCCTAGAAAGTAAACTAAAACTACTCATCGGAAACAGCTTTGCTTGAATTTCCCTTATCAAGTTTTTACAATGGTAATAATTTGACATCTGATCCAAACTACAGAACAATTATTAGACATGGTTTAAAAATTGGTGCTTCTCATTTCCTAATTCAAACCTGGGCTGCAGTGAATTCATAATGCTTTCAATTCGATTTAACCTTATTCCTAAATAGATCTACTTAGTATCTTCTTGAGATACTTAAAATTAAAATTTATCATTCATTTGTTCAGGCAACTTTATATCGTCATCTAACATAGTAATACCATTAGTCACTTATTCAAATGAACAGCTTTCTATAAAATATCATAATTTTAACAGGTTCTTATATATTATGAGAACAAATTAAATCACATAGAGACAGCCTGCAGTAGTGAAAAGCATTATGTTAGCTGTCCTTGCTTCAACTTAGAGCAAAATTGATTAGTATCAAGAAATTGATTCAATGTATTCATTTTACTTTCCCCTTTGCCAATTTACTCAATTATGTGACTCATAATTCAGAACTTGATCCTCCAATTGGTCTTTTCTCTATCTTATGTGCTCACAGTCAGTGAAATTAGGAGGTAGTTCTTCTGGAAACACTGTTTGAATTTTCAGTATCATAAAACAAATGAAAAAGGCCTGAGTACTCAGAAAAACACTCAACTGCGTCTGGATGCATTTAAATAAAATCTTCTGTAATTCTATTCACTAAAAGAAGGTGTTGATTTGTATGCACACTAGATTTGTATACAGACAGTCCACATTTCATCAGAGGATCCTAATGTGCTTATTCCATTATCAGTATTAAAAATCAGAGACCTACCTCGTCCACTCCGGCCCACAAATCTCAGATCGTTGAACCTTGCTACTTGGTTTTTCATTACAGCAGAGGCATTTCGGAGCTCAGCAGAATAATTTTCATCGTTACCCGCCATGACAGTAACCACAGTCCCATCTGGTACCTCTCCAAGGGCTACCACCTACATATAACAGGAAACACAGCAGCAATAATGGCACATCAGAAAGGCTTAAAAAAAATGAGAATAAATTCTCATTGTAAGTGATGTGTCTTATCAAGACTTAGTGCTCTGGTCCAGTAATGGCAGAAAGGAATGAAGCATCTGTATATGGGTTATGATGCCACTTCAAACAGACCAATATTTCAGGGTCCACCCATTTCAAAGGCAGGCATAAATTTCTCTCATTTGTTTTTGGATTCTTCACAGAATATATGTACATTCTTATTAAATCCCCATGTTAGGCTGTCCACAGGAATTATGCCTCAGAAGAAAGGTTGATGCCCCATCTGTAGATTGCATCACACACATTAAGGCATCTCGTCTACAGCTTGGAGAGCCATGAGGTGTTCTCATCCAAATCTCTGGCCAAAAAGTAGGAAGTGTGATCAGCTCTGCAGAAGAAACCTTAAGGTGTAACATTTGATTTCCTGACTATATGGAGCCCTGGATATAGTGGAGTCCACATTTCATCTCCTTACATGGGGCTACATATTTAGCTTGCGATAAATGCCTACTTTGTAGTGGGACCCAGTGAAATACTTAAAAGTCTAGATGCAGAATATATATACTAAGCTGAAAATAATCAATGACAAATGAACAGCAAAAACAAAAAATATACCCACAGCCACACTTCTAATCTGTTTTATTCCATCTACCATCTTGGAATGACACATTTGCCTCCTTAATCTTCAACTGTTAGGCTGAAGCAGATTAACTCAGTTGAGTAAATATTCAGAATAATCAGTCTTTGAAACTAACAGACATTTTCTCTGCTCTACCTCTAGGGAACGGAGTTTATCCTGGTTAGCCAACTTACATGTGTACCTGTGATTAACATGGGGCGTGGTAATAGAATACTAGCAGTGTACAAAACTCACTATTCATAATCCACTACCAAGATCCTGCCCCCCAGTAACAATACTTTCTGTCAACCAACTTCTAGGATTCTCTATTCAGGTTATTTCCATCTCCTCTTCACCTAGCATCCAGATGCCCTCTTGGTAACCTAGCTACAGGAGTACATTGTCACTTGTCTCCAGCTACAGGAGTCTATTGTCAGTACTGACAATGTTACTCTAGTGTCACTCTAGGGTGCTTCCCTGTCTGGCAAATATCCCACTTATCTTTTTCTACATATAGTGCTACTCTCTTCTTTTTGAAGATTTCCATAAGATGAACCTAAGCATTTAATATAATGTTCCAAATATGCTTGGTACATATTTTCAATAAAGCAAATTTCTTATAATATAGTAAAATAGACACCATATCTATATTTTAGGGATAAATTTCCCCATCCATGAATCTCACCCCTCTCCTATATCCTTTCCTCCAGCAAGGAAAACAAACAAAACCTTGTCATTATTTTCATCACCCTTACTTTTCTCTTAGGTTATTTCTAAGTTCTATTCCTTCTATTTACCACCTTGTTTTTCAATCCAAAACCATAAACCTTCCTGAAACTATAGGGCCCACTTTCCCAACAGCCCACTATACTCAAGTAATCTTCATTTCAATGTGTGTTTCTGGGTGGATATGTGTGTGTGTGTGTGTGTGTGTGTGTGTTTGTGTATAAGTATATATGTATGATCAACCTACTCCTTTTGATACACCAACCCAAAGCTGAGAGACTCACAAGTCCCAATTATATTAGTTTGAAAACTACATGAGGGAAGGGCCTTTATTTCATGTCTTCCTCCCAAAACAGTGTCTGGCACATAGTGTTTAATAAACATTTTTTTAAAAAAATAAATGAAAGAGCTCCATAAAGAGAACCACTTTCCTTAGCCAGAAGTCTGTGGGGCTCCCAGATACAACTCTGAGAACCAGTTAAAGGGTGAGTCATCATCATTTCTCACCAGCAATAATGTGCCCTTGCTTCAGACCAGTTTTCTGACTTTTTCTGTCCCAGAGGAGAGAAGATCATGGTAATGACCCTTTACTTGTAGTATAAGGTTATTCTCAATCTGAGAAGTCTTCAAGGTCAAGAGCAAATCTTTTGAGAACTAGACTTCCTCCCTGCATGCTTGATCTAGTACTTCAAGAGACTACTGAATATAGTTAAAACTGTACTCCTGAGGGAGGCCATGTATCTTTCAAATTCACAATGACAAAAATGTGCACATTTGAAAATACTCAAATAATTGATGTTTGCCAGTATTCATCTGAACCTTCAATATTTTGTGTTTTAACACCTGCTGTGTGGCTCTCTCTGTCAACGTAAATATTATAAAGATAAGAGAAAAGCTCTACTGTTCAGAAGAGAATGAGCGAACTAAATTTAAGAGTCTCCAATTTTTCCCTACTTTTGCTACATATCTACTATTTCCCCACATAAGTAACTTCATCCTCAGGAGCCACCATTTTTCAATATAATTTGGAAATAATTTTTTTAAAATCTGTCAAATATATGCGTATCATACTATATAAACAGAGAATTGTTACAATGATCTGCTTTTTGTAAGATGAGGAGGATAACATAGTTCTGCTCCAACCCTGCTGATGGCTAAACAGGCTTTTATTTAGAAGCATCCTTAAAGAGTTCAACTGAATATGTGATTCTTCACTTCATGTCCTGGGATATTCTTTGGTGTTGTTGAGGATAAAGGATGATTACTGGTGGGTTTCACTCAACTAAAGCTAAACTACAGGAAATAATAAAAGAAATCTGCCCCAATATGATGGTTTTCAAGAGCTATGGGACATTATTATTTTACTGCATATTTTTAACATAATGAATTTTTTTAGTTAGAAGAAAAATAAAATTGATTCAATATGGGAAAATATGAAAAAAGAGGCTAAGAGTGAAATACATATTTTACTTTGCTTAAGCAGCATAATAATTACCATATTTAATAATGGTATGTTTTACATGTCACATTTAACAAAACAAATAATCACAAGTTCACGAGTTATGTAAGTATTCTATGAGGCTCAGAACTTGGCCTTAAAAAAAAAAAAACTAACACAATGCAGTGACAACCTTCCATGTTATGGCTGAACTCTGGTTTAATGGCTAAATATATTGTGTTTTCTGCTATTCACTCTACCAAATCAGATTGCCCAATGTTTTTCTGAGAAGGAAAAAAGTGTGTGTGTTGGTGTGGAGAGTGTGTAGCACTGTATTTGACTTTATATCAATCAGAAGGGTAATTACAAGTTTGACATTTTGTTTGTTTGTTTGTTTGAAGTAGATCTCTGAAGCTAAAAAGTTTCCCTGGGAAATTCTCAATTGTGTTTATTTGAAAGAAAACCAAAAGAAGGAAGAAATTTTTACACATTTCATGTATAACAAACCCAAGCAATGGAAAAATATTTTAAGGAGTTAAGAGCAGTCAAAAATGGCTCTTTAACTAGCTAGGCGAGAGCATGAGTTAAAATTTTTATCCATATTACCCAAGATAAAAGTACTGCTACACAAATAATTCATGATGAAACCTTTATCCATTACATTTCTAGGTATTTTTAAAATATAAAATCTACAAATTAAATAAACCTCATGGGAAAGAAATTTTATGCACTGACATTTCTGAATTGATAAAGGAGTTCTTTTATTTAACTTACTTCAATATAACCAGCATTTAAATCACATGTATATAGCATGTACAAAATAAAATAAAAGGATATTTAATTCTAGCAATGGATTGAAATTTTGTCTGAAACTCATGACTAAAACTGTGAATCACACTAAAAGAGGAGTAATAGAGAATTAACTTAGACCCTTAAAATTATTTCTGTGATCTTAATATTGGATATTAAAATTACTCATGAAATTTTCATGGATAGAAGTATAATCTTAGCTAATCAATTACTCTTACAAAACAATTTGCAGTATAATTAAAATATGATTATTTTTCAAGACAGAATCTGACCAAATCTCTCTTTATAATAAAAAGGGAGGTTGAGCCAATAATTAAAGAAAGCAAAAAATTTAAGTAAATTATCAAAAAGTTTCAACAACTACTACTAACTTTTAGAACTTAACCCAGAATTTACAAATTCTAAAGAAAAAAATAAATATAATATACCATTTCAAAACATTTTTTGAAATTCGAAGAAAATTTTGATGGAAATTGTTTCAATTTAAGCCAGCAATTTATATGTCATGTATTAAGATGATTTAAATCACCTAATAATGAATATTCTGGAATTTTGAAAGGACACAAATGGCAAGGCCAAAGGGGAAAAAATGAGACACATGTACCCTACTTTTTCTCAAACAGAAAGTTTCTAAAATTTTAAACAATATTTCCACCTAGAAGTATTTGTTCCAGCTACCTTACCAATAAGTTTTATATGTTCAACCCTAAAATATTTAACATTAAATAAGTTTTATTGCTTTTAAAGATATAACAAAAAAAATGTGTCTATCTTCATATAACCTGAAATCTGCTATGATTTACATAATTTTGTATGACAATTTACGTTGTTTAATAAGGGTTTAACAGGTTTAACAACCTATTTCCTCTTTAGGTATACTTAGATTTTAAAAGATATAAACACAAAATCTGATCATTAAATACATAGGAAAAATGCGATTCACTAGTGTCACATATTTATAAACTGTATACTTGCTTTTGAAGAGAGGAAAATGGCTAAGGATGTCGAAAAATGATTTTCAAAGAGAAGCTGCTGTCATTTTGAAACTTCCTTTTTATAAATACTGAAAAGTATTATTAAAGATAGAAAATTAACTACAAGTAGTAGATCGTATAGCTAAAATTATGTGTTCTTTCTTTAACTTTGCCAGAAAAACATATGACACTGGTAAACATATATAGTCCAGTGTTCTCTTAACTGAAAACAGTGCTATAGGCTTGCACTACTTTTAGTTTTAAAATATACATCTGGACCTAAAAATTTCTGCATACTGTTTCAGCTTGAAGCTATTTAAAGAAACTTAGTTATGAACCCTTAGTTATGAACACAAAGCTTCACAGTAGAAACGCTGACAGACCCCTAACTAAAAAAAGTGCTACTGGACTGAAGAGTTGACTCTCCACTATTTCTACCTGACCATCAACTAATGAGCTGAATTTGCAAATTGTTTCTTTGTCACTAGAATTATCTGAGACAGAAAGGGCCCTGAATCTTCTAATAGCATGCCTTAACTATTTTAAGCTTAAAGTGAGATACACCTGAAAGAAATGTTAAAAATATTTCCATTTCCTTGACACCTGGGGGGACTGAGTATTTCAAAACTGCAGAACTTTGTTAAAAATATCATGCTGATAAACAACTGTATATAAAGTATAAAAGTTGCTTTTGTATTTTTATATGTTGCGGAATAATGAATTATTTTAATATAATCCTAAAACAAAATCATATGAACAATACTAATACATTCCCTACTTAATGTAATACGCTGTCAATATCAAGCTGAAGCACTATTTTAAATTATTATATGAAAACAGCATACTGAATTCATCTGATTGTCTACATTTCCAAGCTCAGTGATAAAATAAGAACTCAGTAAATACTGTATTGATTTCAATACCAGACTTCTCAACAATTCAGTTCTCTGTATTTTTAAAAGCATTTATCCCTAGCTGGGGTTGTGGCTCAGAGGCAGAGCACTTGCCTAGCATGCGTGAAGCATTGGGTTCAATCCTCAGCGCCACATTTAAAAAAGCAATAAAACTTTAAAAAGAGATACTGTGTTCACCTATAACTATAAAACATTTTAAAAATTTTAAAAAGCATTTACCTATCTGCTATCTACCTAACAACACTGTAATTTATTTTGTACGGATCTGTGAATATGATAACCAATTTGCTGTCATCACTTTTAAAAAGGAGACTTCATATTATTTTTTCATTACACGTGTATTTGATTATGTTGCAAGAGTGTAGAAAGTCTGTTGCTTTCAGGCTTTTATCCAAAAGCAGGATATTTTTTAAATAGGAATGTTTTTACATCATTTGAATGAAAAGGATAAAAACTGCTGTCAAATCTGAATGTTAAAATATCTATATATATATTTTTTAGCAGAGATACAACATCTAAGTAAATCTCAACTGTCACTCCTTTTTGTAATTCCATTAAACACAAATATGTGGATGGTAAAACACTGAATCAGGGTTTAAGTTAACACAATTCATTATTCAATTAATATAAATTGCAATATTCAATTTAAAATAGTTTTGTGTTATCTATGGTCTGTTAACTAGTTAAAATAATAAGAATATGTTCTGTATAATTAGTAAGTATGATTAATAGAGAAATTTATTTTCAAAATAGTTTTTAAAGGATTGAAGTGAGAAAGCCTAGCCGACAGCCAAAATATCTGAGAATAGCTCAAACCACATAGAATTTTATCTTTATGTGAAAACATCCTTTCTATAGAGAATACTCATGCTCAAGATCAATTCAGCATCATAAATCGTAAAAACAGTTCAAGACAGTTATACCTTAAACGGGTAGCAAAAACGTTACATCAAACATGTAAATGATATCATCTAAGAACCTAGCCTTATATGTTCACATAGCCTCATCTGTGGCATTATACCTACTAAATATCTACTTATTTGTATTTTTTGCTGTTTTCATTCAGGTTTTCTGTCTGGTTTGGAGGCGCTATGAGAGACTGATGTTAACAAATTTCCACCCTCACATAAGGCTAATTAGAACATTCTGGGCCCTCATGCGATGAACATTATGAAATACACCTCTCGTGTGGAAATTTCACTTTCTACAATTCACTTATATTCTGACCTTTTTCATATTTCAAGGAAGAAAATATTAACCTACCTACAGGATGGGTGCTTGATAAAAGGAGGAATGTCTACTTTTAAGTCATTTTAAAAGACCATTTCTTGAGCCAACTGCAAAATGAAACCTGCCCTAGAATACAACATCCCCTTTTCCATAACAATTCATTCTGATTCCTGTTCTGATAGGAGACCCAGCGAGATAACCGGCTCTAATTGACCCGGACTCCTCTTTCTTTCCACCCCGCCCACACACGGACTCGGAATCGGTGCGCGGGGTGGGGGTGATCCCCAACTGGGAACTGCCAAAGGGCCCGTGGGAGTTTGCCCCAAGGTCCACCCTGGAGGGACTGACAGGATGTCTCCCTTTTCCCCCCTCTCTTTTCTTTCCCCCCAGGCCTTGCTGACCCTGCTCCCCACAGTTCCCAGAACCTGGGGGACCCAGGCCCCCTACTGAGTTGGAGGAGTGCTCACCTCGAGGCTGGCTCACCGCCCCCTCCACGCGGGTCTCTAGCCCCGCGAGTGCGGAAGGCGGGGAACCGCTCGTCGGTCCGCCCGGGGCGTGCTGCTCCCTGGGGGTTCCGTGTCTCCCCCACGGCTAGGGCTGTCCCGAGACACCCAAACCGCGTGGCGGAGCCGCCTTGGCACTCGGCCCTGAGGGAGGCTCGCGACCCCACACCCTCAACCTGCGACCGTGGCTGCTACTCCCGCTGCGGCCGCCCACCCGCAAACTAACGGGCCCGCCGGGCGGAAGAGGCCTCTTGGAAGCCGCGGACTCCCACCTCCGAGCCCAGGCCACGGGCGGGAGCCACCCGCGACCTTGCACCGGCCTGAGGAACCCAGGGGACTTAAGGCCTTTAGGAATAAGAGTCAAGTAAACCTGCACATTTTCACCTCCCTTTTCAGGTCTGGCGAACCGAGGTGGTTCCACAGGTTTCCCTCATCCCTCCCAGGCGGCGCGAGGCGGGAAGTTCGGTCCCCGCTGCAATAGGCGGCCCGAGCGCCGGCCCCTTCCCGCGGCCCGCGCCTCCCCGCACTCCAGGTTCCGCGCTCGGGACCCCAGAGCTGCCCCGCCTCGGGGTACGCGAAGACCCTGGCGGCCCCGCCTTCCTCCGGGTAACGGGAACTGGCGCGGGTCAGCGAACAGCGCAGACGCCCCCTGTCCCGTCCCCCCTACCCCGCCCTCCGTCCCCAGGCTTGCCTGGGACCCTCCCAAGCCCCCGCCACGCTGCCCACGCGCCCCGGTCGGCACCCAGCGGACGCCAGCCCCTGAGCCCGGGAGGGGCCGGGGCCACTGAGCTCCCGCTGGTCAGGGAGAGGGATGCCGGATAGGCATCTGGCTGGGAGGGAAGAGGGAAGGACCGCACGGAATCCCGGAGAGAGGCGGCACGGGCACCCGCGGTGCGGGGCTGGCCGGGAGGAGGACGTGGGAGTCCTCAGGAAGAGTGCCGGGGACCCTCGCCTCCTGGAAAGGGGGCGGGGAGGAGCGAGAGGGGCTTCGCTGCAAACAGTGGGCACCTTGGGGCGCCGGGGGGAGGGGAGATGGCGCAAGCGAGTGGGTTAGAAGAGGGGCCGGGAGATCTGAAGGGTGGGTACCTGGAAGGGGGTACGAGGGGCTGAGGTCGAAGTGGCAGTGGGCACAGGTGGGAAAGGGGGTTTGCGGGACGACTGCCCAGAGCCCACCGGGGCATCCAGAGGAAGAAGGCCAGTCAAGGTCCCTCCTGTCGGAACCGCCGGGGCAGAAGGTCTTGGAGGACCTCCGGGCGGCCCCCGTGGGCTTGGAGACGGCCGCTGGCAGGTTCGGCGCGGCCTGACCAGGGGCGGGGGGCAGCAGTCGCCTCTTACCTTGAAGGCCACAGGCAGGGTCTTGTTGCAGCGCCAGTGCGAGGGCAGCACCGAGCACAGGAAGTTGGGGCTGTCGGTGCGGACGAGTTCGGCCGGGTGGTCGGCGATTATCTCCACCATGGTGCGGTTGTCGTGCGGCGGCCGCAATCTGGGCACAGCT